AGTCAGCCTGTCTAGGCCTGGAGCCATAGTAGCACAGGGTAAACATTCAGTAGATATTGGCCAAATGAAGGAATAAATGCCTCAAAACTACCAGACAGCCATTTCTAGCTCTAGAAAAACAGAGCTCACTTCTTTTAGTAACTCATTCTAGATCTCACAACTTTCAATATTAAAGTCTTCTTCAGGTGTAATTAAAACTCCATCTGCTGCAATTTAACCCCATTTCTGCAGGTTCCTATTTGTCTAATAAACAAATCCCCTATATACCACTCACTGGTCAGAGCTCAGTTTTTAAATGACCAATTTTCAACAGGACTCAAAGCTTTTTGTGTATACTAGATTTTAAGGATGCTGTGTGAACTTTTTGCAAAGCAACTTGACCAGGTGTGTCAAGAGCTCTAAAATGGTTTTCCTCTGACCCAATGGTTCTATTTTGGATAGCCTGACTTAAGGACTTTATTATTAAGCCTGCCTGCACAGGCCATGGCTGAGTAGGCTGATTTAACCCCTAGAGTGCTGGGGAGCTCCTCCTGTCTTTCGCCAAAAGTGCCGGGAGCTATCACACTCCTCCTGCAGTGTCACTATTAGATGCTAGTAGTTCACTCTTTATTGACAGATGGCACCTAAGTGCAGATTACTTATGATGCCGAATGTTTGTAGTTCTAAAATTGACCACTGGCATTTATCTGCCTAATTTTTTATAGGTATTACGATTTTATGAAGTTTACTCAGATTTTGTAGCCCTAAAGTTTCAAAATGGCGTCCAGTTCTAAGTCTGCTTTTATTAATGATGATGATATTGCTAAATAGGTCAATTCTTGCTGTGAAGATGACGATTTTGTGGAATGTATTCAAAGTCAACATTAATTTTATTTTAACATTATATGTTTTGTTCAATTTTTTTTTCTACTAGTATTTTATAATACAATCAGCAAACAATATACGTCAAAGATGAAAACAAATGTAGTAAAGGTTTCCTTAAGTTTTTGAATATGTAACTTCATTTACTTGCAATTAATAATTTTTTTCCTAAACTGCTGTAAAATCAGCAAAAATGCCTTGGCAATTTTAGCATAGTTCCTAGGATACTGATTGGCACTCAAAGGGTTAAAGGCAGTGTTCTGGAGTTGAAGGGATGTCACCTTTTGTTTCTGTGTGAGTTAAACACTGGAAACCTTAAAAATAATTATGAAAGAACTAGCTTCATGCTATTCCACTGCAGTCTTATGCAACTTTATAATCAGAACTGGAAACACTGAAATCCTTTTGTAAATGCAAATGTTTCTCTGGTGAGTAATTACCAAGCACTCATCATTTATTTCCAATACTAATGATACTGATATCACTGCCTGTCTGCTTAACCAGAACATGCTGTGGGGAGCGTTTAACAATATTTACTTACTGCAGAAAAAAAATAGCAATCCCCTTTACATTTACAAATCATAGCATGAAAGAAAAAATAAACAAACTAAGAATTATCAGGCTCTTGCTGACTCACTGTTCTCTACCCGAATTTTTCTAACTTCCCTTCTGGGAACTACTACTCTCCTGGAGAGGCAGCAACGAGGCATGATGCAGAGATGAGTCTAGGCTTGATTCCCACCACTTACCAGCCAGCCATCTGACTTTGAACAAATGCTATAGTTCTCCAAGCCTGCTTCTGACCCTGTGAAATGGTAAAGAGGATGATAATAGTACAGATATCAGGGTCATTTTGAGGACTGAATGAGATAACCCAATGTGTACTCTGATTTCTCCTAATACTCCAAACCTACACACTGGAACTCCCTCTCTCTCCACAACTCAACACACTCATCCTATTCAATCAAATGAACACACTGTTTCCCATTGCCTTTAGGATAAAGCTCACATGCCCCTGACAGAGCATGACAGGCCTCCAGAATCCTGCCCTTGTCTTACTTCTCTATTTCACCTCTCCACACATCGCCATCCCCACTCAACTCTACACATACAAAACTATTTAGTTCCCCCAAAACATGCTATGCTCCCTAGCACACCATCCCCTCTGCATCTATCTTCCTAACTTTCCAATGTTTCAAACTCTAGCTCTCTTGTTCTTGAACATCACTCCCACCCTTCAAATTCCTTTCAGCCCTAGAATTAGTCTTCACCTTACTACCAAGGGAAGAAGGTAGAACATCATGGGGGTATACTAGTTGAACCTAACCTAGCCCATTTGAAGGCATCTTCTTATAACAATAACTAGAGGCCTGGTGCACAAAATTTGTGCACGGGTAGGGTCCCTAGGCGTAGCCGGCAATCAGGGCCAATCAGGGCCAATCAGGGCCTTATGGCTGCCGGCTAGGGCCTTCCTTCATTCTGTGCCACCCCCTGGTGGTCAGCGCACGTCATAGTGAGCGATCGAACACCCGGTCTCCTGGTCGAACACCTGAGGGGACACTTTGCATATTAGCCTTTTATATATATATTAGAGACCCGGTGCACAAAATTCATGCACGGGTGGGAGGGGGTCCCCTCATCCTAGCCTGCACCCTCTCCAATCGGGGACCACTTGGGGGATGTCCAACTGCTGGCAGTCGGACATACCTCTCACAATCCTGCACCGCAGGCTTCTAATTGCTCACCTGCCTGCCTGGTCGCCCCTAACTAGCACCCCTGCCAGCCTGAATGCCCCTCACTGCCTCTGCGTGCCAGCCTGATCGCCCCATGCAGCCAGCTGTTCAGTCATTTGGTCATCCCTCACTAACTCCCCTGCCGGCCTGGTTACCCCAAACAGCCTGCTTGTTCAGTCATTTGGTCATCCCTCACTAACCCCCCTGCCAGACTGGTCGCCCCACGCAGCCTGCCTGTTCAGTCATTTGGTTGTCCCTCACTAACCCCCTACCAGCCTGGTCATAGGCAGCCATCTTGTGAGGGCGTGAGGGT